TTTAGGGTATAAGGTTTAGGATTTAGGGATTGTGTTGGTGACATCATGCTCGTTGATAAGGGACTAGCAGCCGGTTTGATAGTTGAGTAGGCCATTGTCACTGGCCTCAATGAGCAAACGCCTAAACCCTCAATCCTAAGCCTAAGCCCTCAACTACTTCAGATCACCGGCTATCACCCAGCTCAATCAGTGGCTTGCTTTCCAATCCTGGACATGTTTCGTCACTGCAGCACAGCAAGAGGGACCGAGAATCATAGTCCCCCAAGACCTAAGCCATAAACCCTAATGACCCTAATGCCCATAGGTATGTAATTATGGAAGGATCATAAACCCTCGAAAACACTAGATTGGTTGTAAAACCCCAAGAGACCCTTGGAACCCCCCTTAAACAGCTCCATGACACCCCGCATAAACAGCTCCATGAAAACTAATACACCCCAAAAACACTTGTAGATTCTCGTAACACCGAAAACTCGCAATCGTTATAAAGGGCCTACGGGAACAGCATCACCGAGTTCAGGCACAGTTTGTTGGGTTGCAAGGTTGTAGTGACGGCATGACGACAAGGGATTTGAATGTGAGGGTTGAGGTACGGGTCTACCTATAGTCTCCATTGTAGTTCCTTTTGGGGGATACCTTATAAATTCCTTAATATATAACTGGTTAAACCAAGAAAGGAACTACACTGGGGACTGTTTGGACCCAGATGGAGGGCTGTCTGTGCAAGGCCAGAGAGTAAGCGCCAACATCACCGAATTGGGCTCAAGCAGGTTGGCCATCCAAACCAGGCGATCTTTTCAGATCCATGACCACGGGGGTCCCTGATGGGACGGGGTCCTTAACAATATGAAGGGTCCAAATATTTCAGATTAAGGATCCTGTTATCTTGGATTCCATAATGTTTGCGCAGTGATGGGAAACGCAGCGTCGTGGCGGCACCGTGCCGCGCTTTCTCTACTTCCTGCTTGCCTTCCCAAGCGCCGCCCTCTCCAGGCCGAGGAAGAGGCAGATTCAAATGAGGGTTTTCTGAGCTGTGCTGAGTGTGTCCGATCTGCGGCGAGGGTCTTTTGCGGTGGCGAGCATACCTTGATCCGAGATCCTAAGACACTGGAGGTCTACCAGCTAGGTGCATGTGGGCTCGGCTTCGATCATGACGCCGGAGCTTCAGCACAGGCTGACGACTACTTAAAACAGGTGCCCTTATCAGAGCCAGCCATCGCAGTGTTTCCTGGGTACTATCACAATTTCATTAAGACCACGCGAAGATGCTTCACCTACGGCTGCGGTCGTCAAGCACCGAATGATGGTCAGCTCCTGAATGGCAGCCTGAGCGAAGACACCTGGCCCACGGCCACAAAGCTGCGATTTGCTGAGGCAGCAGCAGGAGGTGGCACGGTCCTTGTTGTGGTTGTTTTAGAGGGTTTTGGGGATCGGGGTTTAAGGTTTCGGTGGTCTGTACCTCTGAACTCATGAGGGCTGTCCAAATCATGGTCCATTCTTGAGTCCCAATACTCGTATAAGTATACTCCTCCTTACAAAAAGGGTGCCCAAAAGAGCCTCGATAACTTCCTTTCAGCACTGGAAAGATCTGCATTCCTCCTTGAAGTCTTTTACGGGCATGTGTAGGGATTCCTCTGAGGGTTTATTAACAGGTTCCTTTAAGTGCTCTCTGCCAGTATAGGACACCACAGCATCTGCCGCACTCGCAACGGAGACGTGTGGGCTTCTGGTGCTGGATGGCAGGGCCAAATGGGGAATGGTAGCCTTCAGTATAAGAATGAGGAGCCACAACGTGTAGATGGTCTGCCCAGGATATGTCGGATCGCGACAGGTTACTACCACATAGCCGCCTTGGCAGAGAACGGGGAGTGGTTTTTTTGGGGTTGCAACGAGCAGTTGCAGCTGGCCTCTTCGATCGCAGATCCGCAGATCAAGACTCCGCAGCCTTTATCAAAGCTCCTCCCTGAGCTGAAGGATACCTTTAAAGGTTCCTTGAAGGGTTTGGTTTAGTGAAGGGTGCTTTCATGGCTTTAGAGTTTTTTGTTAAGGGTTCCTCTAAGGGTTTCCTTTATAACTTGCAGGAGAAAGAAATCACCAGTGTGGATGGCGGCTACGGCCACACGGTCTTGCTTACACGCGAAGGCACCGTCTATACACTGGGGAACCACAGCGAAGGCCAGCGCAGCTTGGACCCTGACTTAGACGAGCCTCCTCCGATCAGCTCGGTCTTGGATTTGCCTGGAGCTTCAATGGCAGTTGCAGGTAGCCATCATACGCTGGTGCTAGCTCAAGGCCGCGTTTACGGCTTCGGATCTGATGAGTTCGGCCAGGTGCGCGGGGCGGGAGAGCCTCTGGACGAAGATCAGCGCGTGTGGAGACCTCACGCCGTGGCTGGCCTGCCGGAATCGGACCCCGTCGTTCGGGTGGCTTTGTTCTCCATTATACCCAACCTTTAAACTTTTCGGGCTCTTATAGTTTAGTAGTAATCTGAAATTTTAGCCACTTTTCCGTGGCTTATTGGGGAAGTAAGGTGGATGCCGGGATTTGCCATTCTGCTGCAGAGACGGCCTCGGGCAGAATCTTCCTTTGGGGCTGCGGCGGCAACGGCCAAACGGGAGATCCCAGGCTGCCCTCCAGCTCTCGAATCCGAGAGCTTCACATCAGCGACCTGTCGAAGCGATGTGCAAAGCAGCCGCGGTGAGAAGTGCAGCATGTAAAAGGCCATGGTCATGTGCCACTACCTTAAGGACGACCATGACCCTTAAAAGTAGGGGCCCTATACCCTTATATTATGAAACATTATATGATATGTGAACCTTAAACCCTTTTAGGGTTCATTTCGTCCTCAAGGTAAGCGGATGTAAACTCAGCATGAACTGCCTTTGTACATGTTTGTCCTCCTTGTGCCAGCACCGGCACACGTCTCGGGTTTCCATGTGTTCGTCGCCACCGGAGCCCACGCTTCGGTTTCGGAGCTCCATGTCCAAAAGTTCAGGAGATCGTAGACTGAATCCTCGCAGCTGCAAGTCTGCAAGAGGACCCCTAAAGCCGTTCAATACCCGAGCACACACGAATTTTACGAGCAACACCTGATCCCTCACGTCCAACCCTAAACCCGAAAGCCCTTACTGTATAAGCCCTAAGCCCTAAACCCAGAAACCCTTACACCCCAAACCCTAAGCCCCAAACCCTTATAAGCCCTTAAGCCCTAAACTCAGGTGTCCTCGTGGTGGTGCCTCGTGACGTCGCCGTAGCGTCGGGATCCCAACTTTGCCTCGGGATTCGGAATTCAGCGTTCAGGGTGCTTTTCGCCTAGACCTGAAAGACGACATGAACCCTAAAAGGGCTTAAGGTTCATATACCATATAGGGATTCATAGTATAAGGATATAGGGCCCCTACTTTTATGGGTTATCTCGGCCTTAAGGGACCCAACATGCCTACAAACCCCCCAAAATACCGAAATCCTGAGCCCATCATAACCCCCTAAACCCTAAACCCCCAAGCCTATAGCCTGTAACACCTTAAACCCTTAAACCCTAGGCGCCCCTAAACCCTAAACCCTAAACCCTAAACCCTAAACCCTAAACCCAAACCCGTAATGCTAAACCTTAAACCCTAAACCCTAAACCCAAACCCTTAATGCTAAACCTTAAACCCTAAACCCAAACCCTTAATGCTGAGCCTTATTTCAACCTCAAGCTCTGAAGTCAAAGCTTTGCCATTGTCTCGGCTTTTGCCGCGTGCGCGCCTTGGGAAGCCACGGTTGAGAGTTTAGGGTTTACCTGGACCCTAAAGAACCTACTTTGTTAGGGTTCATTAGAGTTCTTTATACAAGTCCTTGAAAATGTAGGTTATTTGGGGTTAAGGTGGGATTAGAGATTCCGGTTTTGGGGCAAGGGTTGTGGTTTCCAGGTTCTGAGTGCTCCTAGCCCTTGAGACTCAAGTCTAGTTTCCTTTTCAGGCTGCCTTATCATTTCTATCCTTACAACCCAAAGGGTCCTGGGTACTGTTATGGGGGATACTTCGCCAAGGGTCTGGGGCTAACCCTAAACCCTAAACCCTAAACCGAAACCCTAAGCCGGTCTGGCAACCCGAACCCTGACCTGCAAACTTCGATTTCGAGAGGCTCCTAGGCGAAAACCCCATAAACCCACAGTTTAGGGTTTAGGGTTTAAGGTTTAGGGTTTAGGGTTTTAAGGTTTAGGGTTCAGGGGCCTATCCCGAAACCCTAGACCCTAAACCGTATGGAGGCCCTTGCTCACGCTCTTCGTGGACATTGCCCTCGGCGTAGTCATCGCACCCTTTGCCACAGGGGCAGCCGGGCCGCAGACGAGCCAGGGCTTCGGGGACTCTACCCAGAGACTCCAATATCCCTTAAATTATAGGATAACTGATATGATTTAGGGTATATTATCCCTTAAGTAAGGAATCGACCTTAAACTAAAGTAGGATCCCTAATATGATTAAAGGTATATTCCTTAATTCAGGAATAGACTTTAAATTATTAGTAGGATTCCTAATATGATTTAAGGTAAATTCCTTAATAAAGGAATATACCTGAAATTATAGTGGATCCCTAATATGATTTAAGGTATATTCCTTAATTAAGGGGTATTGGAGTCTCTGGGTAGGCTGGGCTGGGGGAGATCTAAACCGATGCACCAACCCGCTGCCTTACCTGGACCCTAAAGAACCCACCTTTCTAGGGTTCCTTATTATGAGTTCTTTATATAAAGCCTTAGAGAGGGTAGGTTATTTGGGGTAGAGGTAAAGGCTTAAATTTTAAGAGGGACAGCACCAGCAATCATCCAGGGAACGAGATCTTCAGACTAGGAGGTCGATTCCCACGGGCGCGGCCAGCAAATTTATGGCAGAGAGGCCTGCAGGAACATTCCTTGAACTATATAATATAGAGGCGTTCTTATCATGTACCCAGAAACAGTCCTAGGTGAGGGATAGTGGGCTACATAGTGATGTCACAACTGAAGCCTCTGGGATTTAGAACATGGGTTTTGTGTTGGGGGGGTTGGGGGTTTAGGGGCTTGCAGCAGATTGGCGTCTTTGGATTTAGGATGTCAGCGTTTTTGACTCGTACTTTTCCACAGAGTTTTGCCAAGCTCGAGGTTTCGACCTGAAGCCGTAAAACCAAGACACGGAAGCCGTTATGACAACACCCGAAGCCCCTTGCAATACCTTAATGTAGGGGTTTAGGGTTTAGGGTTTAGGGTTTAGGGTTTAGGGTTTAGGGCCTCATAATTAGAGCAGGGTTTTGGGGTCCTTTATAGTATAATGATAGTAAGGAACCCCCAAGATGATATAGCTAATCATTGAGGCCCCTACATCAATGCAACACCCTAAACCCTAAACCCTAAACCCTAAACCCTACACCCTAAACCCTAAGCCCTAAAGCTGGCACCACTCAGGGGCTGGTTTGCTTGATCTTCCTGACGCTGGCTGTTGTGAGATGGTGCCGTGAGCGTTGCCCCTCGGCTGGGGCGTTTTTTTGGGGGCATAGGGGGTTTCGGTTTTGGGGTTGCTGTAAGGGTTGAAACACGGGCTTGCTGGGGGGGGGGGGAAGTCCGCCCGAAACCCTAAACCCTAACCCCCCCAAAACCCTAAGCCCTAAACTCTAAACCCTAAACCCTAAACTCCAAACCCCTAAACCCTAAACCTTGTTGAAGGCCTGTTAGGCTTGGGGTTAAGAGGGTTTGGGGTTGTAGAAGTTCGGCTTTGTGGCTCAGAGTGCAGGGCTTCGTGATTTGGGTTCGGGGGCTTGCTGGGTTTTCTACAGCCCAGTCTTACCTGAGTAGCTGAATGAGTACACTTTACAACTTTTTGGGATGATACGATCCCATATGGAACTGAAAGTATACACTTGTTTGTGCTTATGAACTCAGCAACTAAGCCACAGATACACATTATGCAGGGTGTTTCTGTGATCCCATAGTCTCGCTTTCGTTTGCCATCCCAAGCTCTCCTAAGCCCAAACGAACCCGAAAACTCGAAGCCCTAGCCGCTAGCCCAAACCCCTAACCCTATGCCCTGATCCAAACCCTAAACTCTAAACGCTAAACCCTAGAGCCCTATAAGCCCTAGGTCCCTAGGTATAAGCTCTGGTTAAGGGGGACTTCATACCAATGGTTCCGGGCTCCTCTCCTTGAGGTTTCGGGGCTTCGAGGCCCATTTGAGGGAGTCTAACATAGACGACTTTCGGGTTTAGGGATTTGGGGCTCGGGGCTGCTTGGGGCTTAAGGTAGGGTTTCAGGGTTTAGGAGAGTGGAGTTTAAGGGCTTCTGAGGCAGGGTTTAGGGGTGAATTACGGGTTTGGCGATTCAGGGCTTAACGGTTTAGGATTTAGGGCCAAGGGTTCATTCTTCAACGAGTATTCCAGAGTGTAGCTCTAGGTCCTAGCCCCGAATACTAGGCTAACTTCCTAAGGTCCTAACCCACAAGCCCCAAACCCTAAAACCCATGAGCCAGATCCTTAGCTCTGGAATCCCTAAACCCGATACCCAAAACCCCTAAACTCTCCCGTAAATCTAAGGTTAGAAGTATGGGCCCCTAATATGGACCCTTAGCCCTTTCCAGGGACCCTTAAGGGTATATATAGGGTTTTTAAGTAGGTGTATAAGGATCCCAGGGTTAAGGGCCCATACTAGGGGCCCATGGGTTCAACCTTAGAATAAACTCAAAGCCCTCACTTCCGATGCCCGTTCGTGAGCTGAGGTCAGCCAGTCCAAGAGGAGCGGAATCCGAAGCGCATCGTGTTGTGAATCTGCTCCTGTACGAACTACTGTGGATGATATAAATCCTGCATTATCCATAATAAGGAATATACCATAGGTCCCATAGTTTAGGGTGCTTACTAAGCTAATGCAGGATTATATGATCAACAGAATCCCTACTACGGAATAGATGCCATGAGCCCCATCGACTTGGTTGAGGTGCTGCAGACTTGTGTCCAGCTGTGGAAGTTACCCTAGCTAGCAGCTGCATAGCATTTAAGGGCAGAGATACCGCAAGACCTTAGTACCACCACCACCACGACGACGACTACTACTCCTACTACTACTACTAGCCAGCGGCGTGTTTGCCGTACCCGTGAAATCGGCTACTCGGGACTCGGGGCGGGGGGGCGGATAATAACGAGATTGCGGTACCCGTGAAATCGGCTACTCGGGACTC